AGAATAGGAGGATTGCTGCCAACTCAGTAGTTATTTGTGACTAACAAACAGATATACCGATCTTTTCGTATCAATGTTTGACCTTTTTCCATTTCTATTTTCTTTTCATATTATTTTGTTTTGTCTTTGTTTATGATCTTCAATTTTTATTTCCATAATGATATCATTTTAATCATAGAGATGTCAATTCATCCCCTTTATTATATTTCAACCAATGAAATGGTCAAGAAATACCTACACACTTAAAAGATTAAAATCATTGTTTCATTGTATTTTCTGGCAATCGGTGAAAGCTTTTATCTCATCGTACTTGGAGCCAAACCTTTCTATTTATCTTTTAAAAATGTCTTTTACCTTAGTTCTATCATAGTTTTTTTATTCTGTCATTTTTACTCTGTTTTTGCTGTCTTTCCTGACATTACCTAAATAAATATTAAATAAATATATTGAATAATATATAATAATTAAGATATTAAAAAAATATATCTTACGTTTTGAAAAATATTCTTTGTAAATATCAATACATCTACGTGGAAAACAAGTTGACAAGTTTTGGTCTAAATTTCCTGAGGTCTTGAACACTTTAGGGTATATCGATCATCCATCTGATGGCTAAAATCGGTCAAACTATTTTCAAAATATTGCTCTATAAAGTTTTATTATTTTTCATGGTTGTTTTTGATGATATATCAGAGCAAATGAAGCTATATTGCTTATTGTGAGATCGATAATTAAATCTTGAAGTAGTTGAAAACTGACGAAATTCAACTTTGAATTTATCGAGCAAACTAAGTAAATTGAAAAACAAATTGTGAGCTTTCCTAGTTGGAGCATTCAATAGTGATCGAATTATACGAATAACTTGAAGGAATTTCACTGATTTTAATAAGAATGAAATGAATTGAAGGATGATTTGAAAACGTGTTAATTAAATTCTTACTTCAAAGAAAAGTATTAACAATGATGTATGTTACTATTATAACAATATAAGCTTTGTTTTTTTTTTTCTAATTATTATGTCATTGTATGTTTGATGTATACCTTCCTTTTATCTCTATTTGACTTTGGTCATCGAAGTTCAATGTACTAGATGATCTTATCGAGCATATCTCCTTTATACATATACACATTCAACGAGTAATATTAGTACCGTTATCGGAATATTGACGTACGAATGCACATTACCAGCGTTTATGCAAGTGGAAATGGCGTCAATTAATCTTGGAGTAAATTCTATAAACTTCAAAAGAGTAATTTATAAAAATTGTTAATGTTATTTTAGAAAATAAAATTTTCATTTCCATCCAATAGCGTTCTTTCTTCTGATGTAAAGCTCAGTATGAAAGACCTTAAAAAGGAAACTGTCAAACTAAGGTATCGATGCTAAAATAAATTTACTAGTTTGCTTCCATTGTGTTTGCTTGCAAGATAAATTGTCCATTTTTTTCGGATCATGAGTATTATCCCGTGATCTATTTTCTCATCATCTTGTCTCTGTTGAAGTGCGTATTACTGGGATATATATGTGACATGAAGAAGTTCAAGCTATCCTTGAGAAGCAAGTGTGTAACATAAACTTGTAGTCTATTCCACATCACGTCTCGCGGTTTCCTCGAGAAATTGGCTCCCGCGCAAAGATAAGCGAAAACCAAGACTTTTTTGTGACATAAAATAGGTCATTATAACATCAGGTCCGATCCCAGACATTTAGAGGTTATGCGTCATGAAGATGGATTTATAGAAATATTGATGTATTTGAAGTTGCCTTTTTATCGACTATAAAAAATTATTTCTTGGGGAATTATTTTCTTGTAACTCAATATTAGCTAGCAAAAGTAACTATGGATAATAAAATGATTAAATCCATTGGACAAATAGAGCAGCAATGAATTGTTCGCTTTGTATTGGAAGTACTTATCGAGACTACTCTTGAGACGATTCTTCAACTTTTTTTCTTAAATAAAAATCCATGCGAGTAATATGCAATACAAAAGGTGCACTTGGGCTTATTTAAAAATTACTAGGGAAAAATAACTAATTTAAAAAATTCGGTCACTAAGTATAGGGAAATTGAACCAACGCCAATTACCGTTAATTACCAGCACTTTGAGAAATTTTGTCCGCTAGAATTTCATGAGTCTTTTATAATCGTTAATGTATTAAAAACACGGAATTTTACAATTGTCTAGTAATTTATTATAACAAAAGTAATATAAAAAAATAAAATGTAATAAAACTATTTGAAACATCAGGATATAGAAATATTTTTTACTTCTATTGGAACATAAAACTGATGCGATTTTCCCAATTCAAATGTCTGGAATATAAATACATAGTTCTCTTTCCGGCGAATAAATATTATCTATGCGATAACATATAACTTGGCGTCAATATTCCTTCCTGCAAGGGTATTTATGCTTTTGGCGATAGAATTTTCGAGTCTTGGCTATAGAATATGTAATCCAGAGAACTATTTGTTTTCTTTAGTATCTAAACTTATTTCGTGACATTATAAAACAGAAAGAAACCAACTATGAACTATAAATAATAATTGAATTCGAATTTCATCAAAAATTGTTCAAGAATTTGTGATAGAAGATTTGATAAAAAACTGTTATAAAATCGTATATTTAAACAGAACCGATGATTGAATTTAAGAACAAAACTATCCTTATTATTTATTTTAAGGTTACATTTGAATCTAACAGATAAAATTATGTTTCAACCAATCTATCCAATTTTAAGACATAATACTCTGTAAACTAATCTAATTTACTTTGTTATCATGGTTGAGATTGGCCATCTAGGCACTTTGTATTTATTACAATAATTTCATATCCCTAAATGTTCTGTCTAACAGTTATCTTTTAGACAAGTGTTCTATCATATTGTGCTATTGGGTTGTATAAAAAGTCTTGCAACATTAATTATTGATGATGATAGTGACTATATTCCTGATTAAAATTGTAACTTGATAAAAGAAATAAAATATTAAAAAGCGTTTTTATACAACCTGATAAAATATAAAAACCTGACAAGTGATATTAAAAATTGGAGTATATTATTTGAATGAGTACACAAAAAGAAGACATATTCATATTTATTAAATGTCAAATTTTCCTTATATTGTACTTCAGAAGACCTAAATGTATGCGTGGAAGTACTTAAAGATTGTTATTATCTGAATGTGATTCAAAAGTATGACTTTCTTTGTTGTCTAAAATAATGCAAAGACAAATTTATGCTTGATGTACAATAAAAGTATAGTGAGTAGTTTATAGACGAGAATAAAGAATGAATAAACCAGCACTACTGGTATACACACTGAAGAAAGCAAGGTAGATGAAATTTATGTATACAATAGTCAAACAACATGAGAATTTGTCTTGAATCGAAGTTTTGTTGTAATGCTGAATAGATGTAGAATAAGTTCACTCAAATACATTCTACTCCACTTAAACCTGCATAGATGCTTCGTTAGATGTTTGTTTCAATTAGGATCTTCTGAAATACAACCATTGCAGCCAATCAAACCCCCACGATATGTAGGGTAAAATGCACCCCGTTGATTCAACTGTATGCTTTAATGACATCTTCTACATTCTACAACTTCAATCTACCAAGTATTCTTCCATCTCCTTCAACCATTACATCTTGTTTTGTTTCTTTATAGCATGCTATTCATGAATAATATGTACTTCGTTATTTTGAAAAAGCTCAATTTGCATGTTTTTACCTCGATACTTTTTTAAATATTTTATAAGAATTTTTTATCTGACTAATTTTTTAACTAATTAAATTAATTCAATAGAAAAATTATATTTTCTATCAAAATAATTTTAAAAATATATTATTTAAATAACAAAGTCTTATTAACTAGATGAAAAACTGATTTTTCAGACTCACCAATCGCTGTAGATACTCCTAAGAATCTTATAAATATATCAAGATTTGATTCAAATGATCTGGTGTATTCAGGATTCATGTTAGGATCAGATGTAGCTTCAAAATCTTTACTATAAGCCAGCATTGTCAAACTGTCAGTTGAACGTGCCTTGAATTTAAAAAAAAAACTGAGGTGAGGTTTACTTTGAATACTAGAGCGAAAATATACAATCTATGGTAAAGCTTTCACTAGATTTAGAGTACAGATTCGGAGTAAATTTTAGAGATGATAAAAGCACGTGTTCCCGTTACACGATCGCGCACTACTGAACTACAGAGTAGCTTGGAGCTTCCGCAGCATCTCTGCCTCGAGATCTGATTCTGCGCTTGTCTTCCTCTGTTTATTTTTTATAACTCATAGTACTTGAAAAAATATATATTATGATTATAAAACTAAATAAAAACTTATGCTAATTGTAAAATAATCATCTTTAAGTGATCAATCATTTCCATATTTAAATTTTAAATAAATTCGATTTCCTTTTTATGTAAAAAAATTCTAAAGACTATAATAATATTATTATTTGTTGTTTGAAATTTATTTGAGGATAAAAAAATAAAAACATCAGACTTTTATACCTGATTTAGAATTTTGTCGTTATGAAAGATTTATTGAAGCTCATGTGATAGCTAAGTATCTCACAGAGCTTCTTATAGTAAAGCAGATACCCAGAAAAATTCATGGAATAAATATTTCACCGATTTTTCTATACAAACTATGAGTAATCGGTGCTTTTAACTTAACAAAATTAATCTTTACGAATAATCAGATTTTTTTTTTTTTTTTTATTTTTAAATATTTCTTTACAATTATCAACTGCATTAAATAACGTTAAAATAAAATATAAATCTATCTTAACTTACGGATATAAAATATAGAAAAAAAGCTATTCAATTGTAAACCAATTTCTCTTTTTATTCTATTTTTCATATTATAATCATAGTATGGCTTCAAAAATACATTGAAAGTGGTTACATTGTTTTTCACATACATATTTCGAATTTTTCATTTATGAAATATAAAAAAAAAAAAAAGAAATATGAGGTAGATGATTTAATAACACTACACAATATCGATGTTATTAATATACTGACGTAATAAAGAGGTGTTAAAATATATTGAGTGGCTGATTTAATTTTTTTCTTCTTGCAGTTGAGTGTGCTTCGTGGAAGTACACATCAATTAAATCACACTAGTTGATGCATTATTTAACAAGTGAAAAAATAATAACAATTTAATTTTTTCATGATTGACATCAATGAATCTAGAATTTTTTTTTATGCTATGCATATAAAAATGACTATCTTTCAATTTTACTTTTACTCATTTTTTTTAAACTCTTTTGAGTATTAGAACCATGGTCCCATCCAGTCTTAAATCGATTTAATTCAGCTGAACGTGTTAATTGTTGTCCTTGAATTTCTAAAAATTCATCACCATTTAAACATTCTTTTGTCGCTTTCAATGGATGTGAAATGGGACTGAGTGAATTGCGTCCACGTTGCGGTATTGCAGGTGTAGCAAATGATGACCTAAAAAAAGTTATTTTTCGAGCCATTTTATAAATAGTAAAAAGAATATTAACAATGAAAATAATTATATGATACCACTTGTCATGACTTATTACACTACTTGAAGTAAAAGTTAAAAATCCTTAAGTAATATAAAATAAAAAGGAGTAACCGATAAAAAATTTTTATTATTTGATTATTAATTCAGCTAAAAATAGAGAATATTTTTTTGTACAATTATTATCTTTATTTAATAAATATATATCTTGTACACATATTTACTAGATTAATTTATGAGCATAAAGAATAATTGTTTACCTATTTTTACTGCTTGGTAGTCGAGACGGATCGATAGGAGCAAGACGGATATTTTTTGGCCAAATCGCGGGACAAACAGGTGCTTGCCATGCCGAGTGCCTCTGTGGTGTACGAAACGGTGATTCTTTACGTTTGGATTGGAGTTTAGATGCTGAATTCATATTTCTTCCAAAACCTTTCGGCGATGGGCAAAAAATAGTAAAATATTTTTAAATATGTTTATGAAATAGTTTTAAATATGTTTTATATTCTTTTATAGCATGAAAAAAGCTCGAAAGTTCTCACCATGAGGTGTAGAAAGCTCTAAAAGATGTCCAGCATATCGAATGGGTGTAGTTTGTAAAGTGCAAAAACTTTCCCGGGTCGATACGGCGAAAGGTACAGGACTAACAACAACTTTCTTATTAAAAACCGTACCAAGTTTATTTCTACCATGCTGAGGAGTTTTTTCATGTCTTTCTAGTTTAACCTCAACATCATTATCATCATCATCATCATCATCATTATCATCATCGTCATTTGTATCATCAACGTTGTTATCATCAACGCCATCATCATCACCAATAATAATACTATTGGAATTAGCGTTTTTATTGTATTTAAGTGCTTTCGATGAAGCAGTGCTATTACATATTCGTTCAGTCAATTGGAACGATTGAAACATATTGGCACTACTTTTTCTACTGTTACTTTTATTAATTATTGTACCTCTACCATTCTTTCGTCCACTATACGTTGGTGCTGGTGTAATTTTTAATACTTCGTCTAAATTCTTATTTAATAAATCATTCCCGTCATAATTTTTCTCTAGTTCTCCATAAATATACTCTATTATCCGATCAATTACTTGTTCTCGCTTTTCATGCAGTAAATGTTGATTTTTTGAAGAATCATTTGAAGACTAAAAAAAATTAGTTATTGAATTAAGATGTTAATTTTAAATTGATATTTTAAAATTATATTTAATAATTCACATTTTAAAAATGATTATAAATAACGGAAAGTGCTATTAAAATTAAGTTTTTTTTTAATCACAGCATTAGCCATTGATGAAGGGTAGAATAAAATTAATTTTCTTTATGCTTATAATTTCCTCAACTATACTCAGCACTTTAATTGACATTTTAATTTTAATTGTGACAAATTTCCATGTTAAAAAGGCTGATGAAGAAAAAGAGATGCAAACAATGAGGGAAAGATTGCAAAAATTAACATTGCGTGAGTAAAGATAAAAGTGATTAACATGACTGAAACATTGATTTTGATTTGAATATTTCAAAAAAATAACAGTAATTAAACAAGAAAAAATTATTTTACCTTTTGAAAGAAGACGTCTTCAGAAGATTGAACGTCAGATGATTTAAGTGGAGAAAAATTATCCTTCTCCTCATTATTTGTAACCGTTTCAGTATCTTCAGCTTCAAGAGTCATACTCTTACCAACAATTCTGTAATGAGGAATTTGTGCTTTCCATTGGTTACATTCTTCAACAACATCTCCAACAGGCACTGGCTCATTCTCATTATATAAAGTTCTTTCAACTGCATGCCACAAGTCCAAAACTTTGCGTGTGGCTGCTTCTTCTATTTCTTCCGGCCATGAGAACGAAGTTGCTCTGCTATTAATATCTGTGCTTGATGAAGCAGTTTCAATAGCAGGCCAAGGGCTTTTTCGCGTGGGACTTAATTCAGGAAAAAAGCTACTATCTATCACATCAGTTTTCCGACGAACTGTCATCATTGATTTTTTCCTTAAGTTTTCTTTTGATAATCTAAGTATGACAAATTACTTAAAGATATCCTTTGAGATAAAGTTTTCAGCAATTAAGAAAATTTACATAATTATATGATACACTTACAGAGCCTTTGGAGTCCTTTTAGACATTTCATTGTGTTTTTAATTATGCAAATCGTTGTAAAATTGAATTATAAAAATCTATATAACCAAATGTGTACATAAATCATTTCTTATTACTTCATTTGATTGTTTAGTTTGTGTTTACTCACGTTCAATTTATTGATTAATTCATATCCACATAATCCAATTTAAGTAAACAAATATTTCATATTTTAACCTCAAATATAAATATACTCTTTTCACAGTCAACTATTTAAAAAATATTTCATGGTACTGATTATTTTTAATATCACAACTGAATTATCAATAATAATAGTGAACAATAAATTTATTCATCATGAGTTCAGTTCAGAACCTTCCAGTAGCGTTTAGTTTGTGTACATAGACGAGACTGAACTTGAGTTCGAGCGTGCGCGCGTTTTTATTCAATAGAAGTTTGGATAATCTATTGTTTTCAAGGGCATCATGAAGTTCATATATCTGATAATTATTGCACTGACTCGCAAATATAGTGCTAAGTAATTGCGTGAGATTGCGGATAATCAAACGTCTGACCTTTCTCAAACTTTTTCACTGAAACACTTGTGTTCCGGTTTCATGTCCGAACGCTATCTCACTAGACCCTCTAGCGTAACTTTTTCGAACTACATGAGATTGCCGTCAGTTGTCATTTGATAGATATTTTGATAACTCATAATTAGTTTGTCAATAAAACAAATTAACACTTAAAAAAGTTCTTTTATGACATTGAAAACGATAGCTTATATTAATTTTTCTTATAATAAATTGAAACAACTACAATAATGGCTACTGAAGAGAACTTTGAACAGGTAAATACATGTAAACATTTCTTAACCTCTAAAATTTATCTGTTTGTTTAGTATTGTTTTATTTGTAATTTTGTTTTAATTTATTATGGAAATTACTGTGTACTTAAGTTTTGCTTTATTTATTTAGCTATATCATATATAATACTCAAACTTCATTTTTAAATATTATTAACGTTGCATGTTTGTTGAATATTACGAGCAATTATTTTTATAAATATTTATCAAGATCTTTTTTTTCTTTTTCATTTATTAATTAAATATTACATTGATGGTTTTTTTTTTCAGTTTGAGGATGAAGAATCTGAATTGCCAATAGGAGGAACATTACCTAGTGGACGTAAACGTTTATTCTCCAAAGAACTTCGTTGTATGATGTATGGCTTTGGTGATGACCAGAATCCCTATACAGAGAGTGTAGACTTATTAGAAGATTTAGTGATTGAATATATAACTGAAATGACCCATAGAGCAATGGAAATTGGACGAACAGGTCGAGTACAAGTTGAAGATGTTGTATTTTTAGGTAAAAATGAAGCTTTCTTATAAATTACAATAATATAACAACATCATCAAGTACAAAATTCGATTTTTTTTAGTGAGAAAAGATCCGAGGAAATATGCAAGAGTGAAAGATCTTCTCACTATGAACGAAGAGTTAAAGAAGGCTCGAAAAGCGTTTGATGAAGTTAAATATGCAGGTAACATTACTCAATGAACGTTTCTTTTATGCTGATTGCCACAAGATACCGTCTAAAATAGCATGTATGGATTTTTTGTTTTATGCTGTTAATTATTGTATTTTAATGACGTCTATAAATATTTAGCACAATAGAATAGAATACTATTTGCTTTATAATTCTTTTTTTCTGAATAGTATTATGAAAATATTTTTTAAGTTTAGCATTCAACTTATCAAATAAAAGCAGCATTGATTGTGTTATTGAGGTATGTTAAACTTAGTGATAAAACATGATTTTGTTTAAGAATATATTAAGCATGGTCAATGATCTTATTGTTATTTACATGAAATATTTGCATAAATGCATGATGTAAATGCATGTCATGTATGATTGTAAATCAAACTACATTGGTTTGCTGATCAAACTTGCTTGTAGAGCCAAAAATTTATCATTATACAAGTATTGTATCAATTTTTTATCACTATTTATTAAATTATCGTTCAATCTCTAGGTTGAATTCTAACGTTTTTACAATTTTTATATCATCAATATTTTTATTTTTAATATAAAAAACAAATAGATGATTTATTTTATGCAATTCAATTGTATTAATGTTACTTCACCTAGAGATATTGGTTTTAAAATAATTTAATTCTTGTCAAAGTCTTCAACGGCATTTTTCGCTGACAGAATAACATCATTTATACCAACGCCATGATACGAAGAACCACAAAGTGCTAAGGGTAACTTATTGGTGGAAATATAATGACGAATTCGTTCAATGCGTTTACTATGACCAACAATGTGCTGAGGAATACAATCCTTGAGGATCGAAGCGTCCACGTGTAAAGGATCTTCTTCTATTTTCAAAATACGTTTCACATGTTCAAGTGCTATAGACGTTAAATATTCTTCTGTTGGATTTTGGCCAAAGTAGTGATCGAACCATACACCACCCATCATGACTGACAGTACCTGTTAGTGTTTTAAATACAAATGCTCAGTAATGATTTTTTTTGCAATATATGAATTTTTTTTAATAAACAAAAAAAATAGAAACATACTGTTGAATTTAATCCAGATCGAATACTAGAATCAAAAATAACTCCTAAAATGGGTAGATTTTCTTTCGGTGGAACTAAAAATCCAAATCCATCCACTGGTAAAACATGTCCTGAAAATTCGATATTTATAACTCCTACAGTTACAAAGGGAATACCTCTTAATTCTTCAGCTAATTGAGGATGCTGTTGTTCAATGAGTGTTGCTAAATGATTTGCTGGTAAGCTAGAAATAATTTTTGAATATTTTTTAGCTTTTCCATTTGCTCGTACTTCAACGCAATCAGGTTGAAATGTAATATTTTCACAAATGTTATTTAAACATATATTTACATTTTTTAATTCTAGATATTCCTTTAATGTTTTAGGAATTACTTCTAAACCATCATCAATAGTCCAAACATTCCATTTTTCTAATTTTGATCGTTTAACTAGAGGTGACATAGTTTTTCTTTCGACACTTTGATTATCAAATTCTTTTATTTGCTCTTTATTATTGTTAAGATTTTGTTTTGCTTTTGCTTCTCTTTCTTTTTTTGATTTCTCGTATAGCGCACGACCCTCTTTCTTTATTTGCTGGTCTTCTTCTCTCCCAGTTTTTATTAATCCTTTAACAATTGTCCCATATTTTTGCTCTCCTTCAAAAACGCTTGGCATCAAAAATTTTACGCTAATTTTATGTGCATCACCTGCACAAATTCCACAGATCAAAGGACTTACAAGATAATCCGCGATATCTTGACCAAGTCTACGTGATACAAAACTGTGAACACTTTCATCTTCTTTTTGAACTTTTGGTGCTTTCCAATCAGTCCATAGACATGTAATTAGTGGTCGTTTAAATGGGGGTTTTATTTTAAACAAATCCATCATGCTGCTTGGTAATAGTACCAATTGATTGTTTGCATAAATATATCTTTTTCCTGAGATTGTATGATTTGTCGTAAAAGGTAAAATTTTATCACTTAAATTAAGATTTTCAACGAGTTTCAAGGTATTTGTAACAGGACCACTATTTCTTATTGTCCGTGGACCTTTCTCAAAAATAGCCCCTGATGGGGATTGACATGTTCGAATCCAACCTCCAACACGGTTAGAAGCTTCAAGAATTGTTATTGCACCAAGTCGTGAATTTTCCAGGGCATAATATGCTGCAGCTAATCCAGATATTCCTCCTCCAAGGACTGCAGTCATTTTCCTTATCTAGATCTTTTAAAAATATTTACATAATTTTAGCGATCATGAAAGCTGCAAAGTTTGTTTTCATTTAATTTGAAATTAATATTCAAGTACTAAATAATTACATCTATTTACATATAAAAAAATTAGTACATACTTGCACGAATAAATGAATTCTCTGTTGATTTTATTTCTCACGTAAGTTTCTACATGCAAGATGATTTTAATTTTTTAGAACAGACCGGTAGTGTGCATAATTGAAAAAATTAACCTATAAAACATCGTTGAAAATTTTCGAATAATATTCTGTGTCGGTAATGCAGAGTCCTGCTATTTTCCGGTCAATAGTTGTTGCTGTTCATAATCAAGTGTAGCCACGCCCCCAAGTCATTGTACGCATGCGCAAAAATAAAAATAGAGAAATGGAGGGAAGCTTTAAATTCTTGTCACTTCATCTTTAATATCGATGGGCGAAAAGCCAGATTTTCTCCACTCTTAAATTGAAATCGACGTATTGTCTATTTCAATAATTCAAGATTTATTTAATAATTCAATCGAACAAAATTTATTTACCAATGACAATGGCAGATTCTATAAAAATTTAATTTATTCTTTCCGTGGCTAAAAAAAAATGATAAAAAATTCCTTTCAAATTTAGTCGTAAAAATTTCCAACTCATACCTATAAATATTGAGATTCTCATTTATTTTCTACGTTTTTATGGTTAATATATTTTTTTCAAACATCATCATTTCGATGATTTTTTTATTAAAATAAAATTCTCTAGTACTTGTGCATTTCTATTTTTATTTTTTAAATAAGCATCAAATTGACTATGGATTTATTCTACTTCAATTTCTTTCTTCGATACGGATATGCTCTTTTATTAGGTAATTTATATTAGTCACAAATTCAATAGTTTTATAAATTCAATGTAATAACAAAATGAATTGAAAATTACATCAATTTCAAATTGATTTTTTTTTATATATACACACGAATCGAACAGTTTTATTGGCGTATAAAGTGATTTCATATTTTATTAAAATCTTTTGCCGTTCTGAGCTATTCATTTTATCCAAGAAAAACCAACTTCCAATTGTTTCCCTTGAAAATATCTTCAATAATAATTTATACAGTTATAAAGGACTATTTTCAAATAATAGAAGAAGCAATCAATCACCTATCAATATCATTACTCGGAATACAATTGTAATTAAAACTTTAGAACCACTGAGATGGATTGGATATTCTACTCAACCAATGGCTATGATAATGAATAATGATGGCATTACAGGTACTTTTACATTCAAATTTAGTTATAATGAAAGACTATTGTTTTTATTGTTTAAAATGAAATTATTTTAAAAGTTATTACCGTCTATATAAAAATTCTTTTTTAAAGCCATATTCAATTTTTAAATAATCCTTATCGATTTTTAAAGTAGTTATCCTGTGAAAGCAATTACTTGCAATTTTTTTAATTGCATCATTTTTATAAAATAATTTTTAAAAAAACATTTTTCTTTGAACAAAAAAAAAATCTGACATCTAGAAATTTTTTTTTTATTTAATAACGAATGTTTAATCACGACATTTAAAGCATTTTTTAGAAAAATAAAAATATAGTATTTATAGTTCATAGTATTTTACCGTTATAGTTTTTCAATAAATATTTCAGAACGAAATTTACGATTAAGTTTAAAAAATAATCAGAATATTAATAAATATGCAATTAATGCTTCAATAAAATTTCACACAATTTTGACGTTGAGTTATTGAACAAAAAATTAATGAAATTAATTTTCCGATATCAAATTGAAGAATAGTAATGTAAATGTATTGGTACAGATCTGTACAAAGAATTGTTTCGAATTATAAAAAAAAATTATTCATAATACTTTCCAGATATTATTGAATATCGTATTATAAATAATTTTAAAATATAATTCCACGAAAGTTTTGATATTTATTGGATACTTTTTTTCATATATAATTAATTCTATTTGGCTGGGGTGAAATGAATTTTTATACGATCTCTCGAGGGATAACTACCTTAGAGTAAATATTTTTTTATTAATATTTTATACAACATAATTATAATGAAAACTCAAAAACTTTAATTTGATTTTAAAGTCTCAATACGTGGGTTCTGGTCGACAGAATCAAAGCCTCACATTGAAGGAGGGCTCTTGAAGGGTCGTTATTACTTTCATTCAATAACATTTCATTGGAAAAGCTTTCATAATGATGGTAGTGAACATAGTTTTGATAACATTAAATATCCTCTTGAAATGCAAGTGATGCATGTGAAAGAAAATTTCAAATCCTTGAGTGAAGCTATGCAACGAAATAATACTAAAAAAGATAATAATAATATTGCTATTATTTCTTACATATTTCAAGTAAATATTTTTACTTATTTTATTAAGAAAAAAAAAAATAGTAATAATGAATTAAATAAAATGATAGTGAGAGATTTTATTCTTTTATTATTTCCATTGGCACAGATCAAAGACCAAAAAAATGCATTACTTGAACCAATATTGATGAATCTATCTCGGGTAGAAAAAACTTATTCAAAAGTTTATATCCCTCCGATTCATCTTGATAGTGTGTTGCCTTTATTCGAAAGTAAATATTATAGTTATAAAGGTTCATTAACTCAACCACCCTACTGTGAAATTGTAACATGGATTATTCATCCGGAGCCATTAGTTATATCTTCATTGCAAGTAAATTAGTTTATTTTTTGATTATATAATTAAATAAGGATTTAATTTCCTATCTCAAAGGAGTCAATTTTTATTATATTCTCAGATGGCGGAATTTTGTAATTTACACTCAACAAATGGCTTAATGATTCGTAATTCAAGATCTATTCAAAGTTTAAATGATCGTAATGTGTTTTTTATTGAAAATAATTAATCTTTACTATTAATAGAGAACCCACAAACAACACAATATGGTTATAAACATATATATATATTTTTGTGTCTTTATAATACATATATTTTTATTATGGACAATATTTTTTTCATCATCGATCCACTATAATTACACAATCATTTTTTATTACTGTACACTGAATTTTTTTTTTTTATCGTCTTTATCACATTTATATAATTGAAATAATATGTAAGAAAAATAACAAATAGACCATTGATAAAAAAAATATATATATGTGAAAATAATTCATTTCGTATTTTTTATTTTTATAATTTTTTTTATTTTATTATATATCTTTTTATTATTTTTTTTATTTTGCAAAAAATACTTTGAAAGGCGGTATTGGACGTGATGATTATCAATATGAATTTATTATGTACATAATATGATTTAAGACATCACGAACAAAAATCCAATAGAAAATTTTTCATCTCTTTATATATATAATATTTATATTCATAAAGAAATAAAAAGTATTTATTATTAGAAATGTGTGTACGAAGATGTGTGAATTTTAGAAAATTCAGAAAAAGTGTAACATTTTTACATACATAAAATAGTATTCATTTCATTCTGATTAAATGTACAATATTTTAAATACTTTATCGAGTAATAAACAAAAGTAATTATTCTTTTTGTTCAATCCAACACTGCATAATAATTGGAACAATTCAATTATTCCAACAATAATCAATAATTAAACTCATTTATAATATTAATAACGATTCGTGCAATTTACATAATATACAAAAGTTAACACTTGCTAATAGAATAAAATTATTATTTTTTATCATTATAGAAAACAAATGTAATTATGTAATTTTGCATTTGAATTAATTATAGCATCACATTTTCTTCTTTTTTTACATTACTTTCATATTTTAATCACCAACTACTATATTAACAACTCCATTAACCTCAAAACAATTTAAATTTTTTAGTGCACCAAATAAAGTGTTGACCTGAGCAATTAATAACTATCAATTATGAAAAATAATAAATATAATTAAAAATGAATATGTTTAAAATAGAATAAAAAAGATACAAACTGCATGATAGACATTTTAATAGTTTTGTTGTCACACATATTAAACTCACTCATACTGATTTGGCTCTATTGATCACAATCTATTTGCGAGTACATGTGTATTAATGAATTTTACACAATTGCAAATACACACAAAGATGAATTTCCTATCTATCTACAGCTATCAACAATGCATTTTAACAAAAACGGCAGTACATTAGTTGGTTTCAGCTTCTCTGTTTCGAAATGTTTGACAGAGAATCGTTGCAGTTATTATTCCAAAAGTCTAAAATGAAAATAATTTAAAAAAATTATATTTGTGTTAAACTCAAGCATATGATTATTTTTAACTTTAAACAGAGACAATAGTCAATATAGGTTAACATTTGGATTTTCAAACTAGGTTAACCCATCATGTAATTGACAACTTTTAATTTTTATTCTATTGCTTTCTACCTGAATTACAGCCATCCCTATGCCAAGAAAAACCAATTTTAAACTTTCATTGCGCAGCCACTCAGTAGCTCGTTCGAGGCACCCCTGAAATAGTTATTGATAATATTAGAAAATTGTTACATCAAAAAATAAATAAAAGAAGAAAATGATAAAATATATGATAGTAAACACGAGATGAGCAGATAATAAACTTACTTCTTTATTTCGATACTCTTTATGTGCTTCAACCTCACCAGCTTGGCAAGCAGCTTCATCTTTTGGCTGTGGATGTAACCATGGTTTTTCGTACTGCCAGATATTCAACAAATTTTCATTACATCAAGCCAATGTCCAGTGTAATTAAATGAATAATTATAGATAATAATTCCATTATCTTAATTAAAATTTTTGAATGACAATTTGATAATATTCATACTCACATCTTTGTGAAAAACTCTCGACACAACACTCATTGGACTGCCAACATTTTTGGACTACAAATAAATAAATGAATTTTAATCATAAAATCTACTAAATTTAATTGACATTTTAATCCAATTCAATTAGCTTCTGCTATTTAAAAACATTCCACTATCTTACCTCGTGGTTTTTGAGTACACAACACGTAAGAGGAACATTCCTTCTCAACCCAGACAACTTGCCATCCCTCCACCATGCAGTTCCATTGTAATCATTATCACCATAAATTCCGCAGCAATTGAACTATGAAAGACTATCATTATTATTCATTCTAAAAATATTTGATTACTTTTTTATTCTACTAGTTGATACCTATTTCTTTTCAATTTGTCTAAAATTCATGTCATTCTCGTGTCATAACATTTATTAATAGAATCTGATGTTAGAAAATTAAAAGATCAATCAATATTCAATTACCTTATATTGAGCGAAATCAAGACTATGAGTAAAAGGAAGATCACTCGTTAAGTCGTGACCATAATGATCACCTAATCGCTCTAATAGTCTATTTTCTAATCCAGAAAGTGCTCGGTAAGATAAAAAACCACCAACGGCTGCAGTTACTAATTCTGGTATTATTAATCCCACTAACATTGCAATATACTAAAACAAAATTCAAAGAAAGCATTTATAATAAACATATAACATATACGTATGCACATTGAATAAAATATGATAGAATGGAATAACTGACAAAGAATATTATCAAAATAAGTATAATGAAATTGATGATACATTAAATTTATTACTTACGACAGCTAGAATGCATTGACTTCCATGGAGGGGTGCACAACATCCAAGAAAACCTACTATCAAGACAACTATTCCACCACCCAGTAAAATATAAGACAAAACTTGAACAGTATGATGAGGCGATAAACTTTTGACAAATAGATTTAACAAATGTTCACTACTTGGGTCAAACATTAACCAAGTGCCCATCACGATCACCATAAATCCAGTCAACTATAAATCATCAATAATATCACATGGAATTGATTATTTTCTGGCTATCAATTATTTTAGTGGATTGTAGAAAAGATTTCCAAAATTACCCATATTAGAAGATTGAAAATAAAAACGGCGATCTTCAAATACTTCATGATTTATGATTATTTATGTCATACGCAGTTCATCGATTGGAGAATATTGTCAAAGTAATTGAGTTCTTCTAATATTGTTGTAATCAAAGGTTGAGTATTTTATTAGATATTTCAATATATTGTATGACGTCGAAGCTTGAAAGAGCACACCATTTTTCAAAGCTTTCTGTATGGGAAAATAAAAGATTAATTTACCTTCTAAGTTTAGAGTAAATATATTAAAGTAATAAGAGAATTTATTGCTTGACGGTGGAAGAGTTTAATGATATTTTTTTTTTAATTTCAAAAAAGAAATAACAACGAGAACGATCTCTTCGGTGTAGGCATATAAAATGTAAGCTTGTCATAAACACAAAGTGCACTTAATTATTCAGTAGTGAAGATAAAAAAAAGTCAGACAATGCTAAAGATGATATTCTGAGATATAACGTATTTGCAATATTTTCTTTTCTACTCTGTTAATTACAAACTAACGATTAATAATTACTGAATAGATACTGTAATGAACTTTATTTCTTTATTCATTACGTTATCTCATCTATGTATTGAAATGCGTGTTAATAAAAGTGGCCTAATTAGTTTCAGAGTTACAGGTGGCATTATCCCGATGACATAGTACTAAAAGCTCTACGAACAAAATTTAAAGAAAACATGTCAATATTAATTCACCAACTATTTTCGACATTTTCAAAGTAATTAGCTTTTAAATACACATTTGACATTTCAAAGTAAATATTCAACTTCCAGGTAATTTTTCTTTTATTCCAAAGTTCACACCCTTACCATTGAAATTCACCAAAAACATTGACTTGAGATTGAACTAGAGGTGATTGAAAAATTATTTCACATAACTGTTGCACTCACAAGAGAACTTCCGCTTCATTAAGCCCGGTTATTTCCACCCTAGAAGGACGAAAGAATACTGAACGCGTAGTGTTGATACCCCAACTGGGTTATCATCTGTCCGGGTGATACTGTCTTTCTCCTACTTGTTCTCAACTCATATACTTCTATACGCTCCCCTCCAGAGTATGGAATCAAATGGTCCAGATGCGGCTGCGCTATGGAGAAGCAGCGCTAACACTTTAGTTATGTACATGGAGAAATCTCACATTCGATCATATTGACTTATAATTTTTTATTCTAAATACTTGAATGTTTTTCGATGCAATTAATTATTATCTAAAAACGCAATTAAAATTTTTTATTGTATAAATAATTATTTATATAACATCAACATTCCATTTTATAATAAATGTATTTTATTCAAGTATTAACAATTTTTACATATTTTTTCACATTAGCTAATCTTAAATATTATTCAACCATCAGTTTAAAAATACATTTTAATTATTACAATGTCATAATGTAGAGCAATATTTTTCAATTTTATAAGAACAAAAAGAGAAGAAAGAGCGAACAAAAAATGTGTAAGATTTGTTATCAGACGAAAAGTATAAATGAAAGAATACAATAACTAAGGGATATAAAATTCAAAAGTAGATAAAAAAAAAAAAGAACAAAATCAAAAAGTTATTGATCTTGAGAAAGTTTTAAGAGGCTTTGAAGTAATTGCCGATAATAATAAAAGATAGCATAGCGGCAGTTATTAAGTTATCTTTGAGAAGAAGTTAAGTTAATTCTGACTGTAATTTCTAGCAAGTCCTTACACATACTTTTTGTGATAAAAAAAAATATATCACCATTATTTATATGAGCAAAGCTTGAAAATATATAACACAAGTATATAAATTAAGATTTTATAATACAATTTAAACAATCAATTAATTATAATCATACCAAGTATGAACTGATTTACAATCACAATTATTCTATTCATATTACCATTCATACTGAAATACACTCTTTTTCTTTCATTTAATAAGTAATTATTTATTAATTAATTATTATATATTGTCTTTTATTTCTTATAACTATTGGACGGCAGCTGACTTGGCACATTTCTCTTTTGTCAGCAAATATACATTTTTTTCATTCATACTTATCAGTGGACAACTTATGTGAGTATTTGATTTTCAACATAAACTTAAAATTATTTTACTACTCACATAGTTTTTACACACAACAATAACTAAATAAATTTTCTTTTAATAAAAAATACATTCTTTTATATTTTCTAGTTAAATTAATTCTTTTTAATTAATTTATAATTCGGTAGTTGTCTCAACTGGACTTTGTTCACTCAAATACGTGAATCCCAGGTGAGAGTAGTCTTTCCTCTCTCTAAACGTTACATTATCATTGGAAGGACTTGCACTGAGGAGTTCGTTGTGATTGAACAAAGGATTCAATACAGGAGTATCTATATTGTTCGTTGGATTGGTATTTTTACGACTTAAAGTAGACCGACGAAGGGACTGCATATTAACATCAGGATGATTCCCTGCTATGCTTGAAGCACGTACTGTCGTCGCTGCTTCTGAACTGACAGGACTCTGTTGACCTAAAAAAAAAAGATATTCTTGTCAGAGACGGAATCCAAGAGTTACTTTAATTAAAAGTAAGAGTTTAAAGTATTTCTGTACATTGAGAGGAAAAAACTAGAATCGATAAATATTTCATTAATTTGATTACATTATTGGTTTATTGATTTAAAAAATAGATATTTTTTAATTCCAAATAGTATAATAGGAATTGAATGTTTTTTTTATCAATAAAATAAATAAAAAATCTGTAGATAACATTATTGGTTGAAATTTTTACCAGTACTTCCGCCATGATCTTTGGTAATATAGCTGACATTATCAAGACTGAATGCGTGGTTTTTATTACTAAAGTCAAGTTGTAAATCATTGTAACTATCATTGTCATCGTTTGGCACACTCATTCGTAGCACTTGAGTCTCGTATTCCTTCAAATCGGTTTCAACATATACTGGATCATATCTTGGAACAACATACATACGTTGCATACGGTCCCGGTAAGCTTTATATCTACAAAAAGGATGTGTGATAAATTGGCTAGTTAGTTTATAAAAAATAGTATGTAATTCATGCATTTATTTTTTGCTACTGTGTTGTCGAATATAAAACGGAAATAGACAAGCCGGAAGAGTTGATTGACCTTAATAAATTTTAACAACAATATTCTATTCTGAGAAATAATGTTTTCTGTGCTATTTCTGAAATATCTTAGTAAATATGAATGAAGAATTTAAATCGCGGTAAATATGTGTCAAGATATATAATATTGCATTTTCTAGTAACATTTAAATTCAATGAATTCTTGTAATTTTTGAACGACATCAGTTTACTTTTATAGAATAAGATATATTGCACGTGAAGTAAAATTCTAAACATATGAAACGGAATATTATCATACCTATTTCATATAAGTATACTAGAAAAAAAAAAATTTATAATGTGTTTTTATCAGAAAAATTGAATTGTAAGAGATAATATTTTTCAAAGATATGGATTTTAACATACCTAGACCAAGAAATGCATATGTAAACTATTCCAGCTATACCAAGTACTAAAATTACACAGGCAATGATAATCAAAGCATATGGAAAAACTTCTCCACTAAATGCTACAGCAATTGGTGTAATAACAGTTGGTTCTGAAGCTGTCACAGGTGCGTGAACGTCAATAGCATTCGCTCGAATCGCTGTAGACACATCGAAAATTAATGTCGACATTGCTGGTTTTTCTAACATCACTCTAAAAAAAAAAAAAACAGAAAAGAATCACAAGATTAATCATATAAATTATGTGAAGATAAAAAGATTCATGGATATTAGATGATAGAGAAATAAATCTCTCACTGATAAACACCAAATGTGAATAAAAAAATAGCTCTAGTGTTGGTAAAGATTCATAAATAATTGCTTATGACAATAATAAATTAACTAATTAGATAATTTTTCTAAAAGTACAGAATAAATAGACTTGTAGTTGACATTTTCCAAATGTCAATACGTAATTGAACGTAACAGTAGTATTAATTTTTTTTCAAGGATTTAGTTTCCACTAGAGTGAGAATGAAAAATGAATTATAGGTTGGTACCTCTGCAACAATGAACTATTTTGATCGAGAATTATTTCAGTCTTTGGATCAATGGCGTAGAACCAGACATCCGAGCCATGAGGATGAGTTTCAATGGTTCCATTTTTTGTTAAAGTCTTTTTTATTGATATCCTGTCAATACCAATCAAGAGGCCAGATTTTTCTTCCAAGATTCTCACTATTTTTGTTGTTTCTTTTTGCACATTTTCTGGTAATGCATCTTGAATAGCAAGCACTAGAAGATTTTCTTCACCAATCAAATTTATTACTACAGGAGCTTCGACTGTATTGTATTTTACTGTAGAATTTGGATTATCTCGCACTTGAACATTAAATTTAAATGGTAGTTCTTCTGATGGAACATTATCAAATGTTGCAGTTGTTTTTATAATACCAGTAAAACTATCAATCGTTAAATACTGTGTTCCCCTGCCACTCAACATTTTATATTCAAGTTTTCCATACTTTCCATTATCTTTATCTTGAGCTTTCACTTGGAGAACGCTAAAAGAAAATTGTGCATTCCTCGGAATTGAAGCGAAATATCGTCTTCTTCTTAATCCAAGAGGATCTTCGGGAAATATGAACTCCGGCTTATTGTCATTTACGTCAATGACTTGAATTTTCACCTAAAAATAATAATTATAATCATACAAACATCTATACAACCATTGTGATTATTCATGATAATCATAAATCATTTAAATACTATTTTCATTTATTATTTATGATATAAATATTTCTTTCAATAAAATACTGTTATTCAAGTTGTACCAGAAAATTATTATACACTATCAACAAACAGAATAAAATAAATATATTTTTAATTAGTTCAACTGAATGGATAGAAAGTAGTATATGAATTGTTCAATTGAAAGTATATTAATTACAAATTTAAATAAAAGTTTTTAAAAATTAACGGATTCAGATTTTGAAACAAACAAATAATTATTTACAATATTTTTAACGCTTATAAAAGTAAATAAAAGAATAGATATATATAAATAAATAAAGAAAAAAATAGTACAAGATTTTTTCTTATTTAAAAAATAGTATAAAAATAAATTTACCATTGTCGTATTTCTGTGAGAATTCAGTAATCCTGATAATGATTCTAATTTAATTTTAATCTGATAAAATTCAACAGTCTCATAATCAAGAATCCCTTTTTTCAGTCTCAAAGCACAATTTCGTTCTTCAGTAATATTTGCTTCAAAAATATTATCCTCATTACCATCATATATTTCGCATTTCAAAGGTGTGCTATCATGAGTATGTGAATTAATAATAGTCAAAATTTTAATAAGAGTGTTGTCACTAGCATCTTCAGGCACGTCCACATTGTAAGAGTCTTCAGCAAAGCCTAAACCAACTTCCGGGGCTACAGTTGCGACATGGCGGATGTAAATTGGAACGGTTGTTACTGATGAGAGCTGTGGCTCTCCGAGGTCATAGGCTCGTACATCCACCTTTAATTAAAGACTCTTTATAAGCATCACTTACTATAATTATGACATTAATATCCATAAATTAAGTAAGCGGAAATAATAATTCATACCTGATATTCTGAGTCAGTTTCCTTTCGCAGATCATCACGAACAGTCAGGATACCTGAGTCAGGATCTATTACAAAATATTTGCTTGCTATCCCACGTCCAATTATTTCATATCGCACCTAAAACATGATCATGTGTTAATTATAATTAAAAAAAGCTGCAGGTCAGTATTTTAATTAAAAAATCAGTTTAAATTCATTAATTATTTTTTATGATTTTTATTTTCCTGATAAAATGTTTGTTTTATCTAATTTCTTGTACTTTTATAAATTATTACTCTAGTGAAAGTAGTTTATGCTTCAATATGTATTGACACAAAGCTTAAATCTATTGCTTTCGCTGAATAAAGTCTATTTGAAGTCAAGCATCGAACCAGTTTAAACCTTTTTTAATTATACCGCTTAGCTATTCAAGTACTTTATTCAATTACATTAATATAAACTAATACCAGTTGATATTAATACAGCAATGATTAAATGAATGATGCTAACACGAAAACAATATGACCGATTGATATGAGATAAATGCTCATTGGTTCTGCTATTGTGTCTTATTGAGCATCAATATGCACATATATTGAGCTTGAATCATCTTCGTTGATTATCGGTTCTCTCCGGATTTCTAAACTTGACCTATATTTCTGCTTAGGTTGTTGACCTATCACCTGTAGTCGAGCATCCTTTTTTACTTCGCGCTCGTAATACTCGAGTGTTTCAAAGTTAGATAGAAAAAGAGTAGTCCTTCAATGTGAAAAAAATTTATTTAGTAGTTAATTTATTAAAAATATTTTTAAATAGTTCTATAAAAATTATTTAATATAAAAGAATAATGAGTAAACAATGATGAGTAAACTATTTGAATGATAATAGTTAAATTAGTTAGCTTAATTTTCTCTACAAGAGGAAGAATGAGCAAATGTGGATAAGCTGATTGTTGAATAATTGCATTGGAAAAGGAAGTATTATTGAATCATACTATTTCCCATTATTCAAAGAAAAATTGTAATTCATTTCTCAGTGAGAGGAATCTTTTTTGTTGATATCATTCATGTCATATATTGTTGTGAATGAAAAAAGTATATTGTGAGAGATTCATTTCTTCAAATGAAAAGCTTTAATTCCGAATACAAATAGATTAAAAAGTCATTGAATAGTTTATTAATTTCAGGAAAAAATATTTCAAATTACAAGCTTGTTTCCTCTATTGTCTCGTCTATTTTAAGCTATTTAATGACTCGAAACATGGTATTGATTATCTGCTGTTATTTTTAATCCTCCTTTTGGATTGTTTAAGTGAAAAAATTGATTTAATTTATTATATTTTAAAAGGTTTTAGGTTAATTAATATATCTTTCAAGTTTCAATTAATATATTAGGAATGAAAATTTTTAATGAGATGAAAAATTAAAATGAATTTTCACCTGATTCCCTGGTGATGTTCCATCCGAGTCTTGCGCGAAAAGATTGATTACTGTTGTACCAATCGGGACGTCGTCATCAAGTGTGATGGGTCGAGGTACGGAAGTGAATACTGGAGGAATGTCATTCATATCCTGAGAAAATTATTGTTACATTAAATCCTAGTTTATCACTTTGATTTATCTCATGAATGAAAAATTTTCTAGAAAAATTACTTGAACGTTAATGACTACTCTGGTTGTAGATCCAGGAAGGTCACTAGTATTTTCTAATGTTCCAATAATTAAAATATGTTGACTATCTCTTTCATAATCTAATCCACGAATTGTTTTTATTACTCCTGTTTTCGAATCTATACTAAATAGATCCGTATCACCCTGCTTAATGACATATGTTATTTGTTTTTTTGTATCTGGATCATCAGCCTGAAAATCATTTTTATTTAATTCTCTCCGTCAATTAATTTTGTTTTACCTCAATTTTTAGTGGTTGAAGATATTGATTTACCATAACTTGAATAACCATATAGTCAGGAACGTTCTCTTTAACTTTGGCTTCGTAACTACTTTGATGAAAAATAGGTACTTCATCTTCAACATCGATAACTTTCACTGATACGGTAGCAGTTGCAAGACGAGGATCAGGAGCTCCATCTCTTGCAGTCACCACAAATTTATATTCCTGAAATGATGAAAATTTATAAATTACAAATTTCTACTTTCGATAAGAAAAAAAAAATTTTTTTTTGGTAACCTTCTATTTATATAACTGAACAAAAAAGATATATTTTTAAATATCAATATCGAAATAAAATATGTAGCAGTGAGATGATTTTTAATGTTTATTCAAATTTTATTTATGAAATTTTTTTTTTCATTTAGTAAAGAGTTAAATTTTATTATTAAATAAGTCAATTCTTTAATAATAATTGTTATTGAAATTAAATATTTATTAGAAATGATGTGTTCATGAAATTGAAATGAAAGGTCATGATAATTAATTGACCAACCAAAAAGTAAATTTCCTTACGTGGTTTTGTTCGTAATCCAATGCAATTTTCGTGAGAACATCGCCCGTTTCTGGATCAACAGTAAAAGGGATATCATCAGGAGCAAAATAAGTAACTTCTGCATTAATTCCTTCGTCAGCATCTTCAGCGTGAACGCGACCAATTAACTTTCTCGCTTCACCTTCTTTCACTTCAAATTCATATGGAAGTCCTTCGAATTCAGGATTTTTATCATTAATATCAGTTACTCTAATATTAACAGTTGCTGTACTTGATAATCCTCCACTATCTTCTGCTTTAATTAGCTGTAAAAAAGATATTATTTTCATACCACTAGTAAATATAAAACAATAGAGTCATTGACTGCTTTTAAGATAATATTATAAAGTATTTGTAAAAAATGCTTCATTGATAGCATTGGTACCACTTACCAGTTGATAGCGCGTCAAGTCTTCTCTATCCAACTTCCTTATAACGGTAATGACGCCTGACTTGTCACCAATCGTAAACTGCCTCAAGTCATTGCCCGAAAGAATTGAATATGATACTGGATCATTTTCCGGGTCGAGTGCCTGTAATAATTTATATCATAATACACTCAGAGAATTTATTGATCCGTAATAATTCATAAAAAAACTGAGAAAAACATGCTTCGTAAATTTATGATTCCATTAGATATTGCTTTTCATAGACACTATTTTTACCAGTGAAGAATTTTAAATTAATTTAACTTTTGACTTGATTAATGCATAAATGTGGTTCCCGACTATATTTACTTCATTTTAATGAACAAATTAACAAGTCGAAAAATAAATATTTACATTTGGATGTAAATTAATTATCCAATATAATATTTTTCATAAAAAAAAAAATTTAATTTAAAGTATTTCATTTAAAAAAACTTGTTTAAAAAATTTTAATGAAATTCTATTTGTCAAAGAAAATTCTTGATACAATCAATCGACTGAAAACAATTTAATTTGATTCTACAAATGATCTTTTTATCTACTTACCGTAATTGTTGCAACTGTAGAATTAATTGACGCTCCTTCACTAACTTGAACTTCATAGACTGGTTGTTGGAAAACAGGACTTCGTGTATTCGGTCCAGGTATTACGTTGACCTCTACAATCGTCTGTGAATATTTCCCACCTTTGTCAGTTGCTTGCACCGTAATACTGTACTGTTCTCCTGCATTAAGCTTCCTCACTGATTCAATAATACCGGTTTTCGGATCAATTTTAAATTTTTGTAAACCGTTGTTGGAAACATGGTAGATACTGTAAGTGATTTCTGCATTTTCACCCTCGTCGTTATCTGCAGCTTCCACCTAACGATGTGGTAATAAGAATTAATGTCAGCGAATTATAGTTAAGGTATATGAGAGTTGAATTTAAATTGGATCGAACAAGAATATAATTAATATCCAGTAAATCAAAGTCAAGTCAATGAAATCTGTATAAGTATGAAAGAAAGTTTCGTAATTGCATACAATTAGTTGCATAAACATTATGTAAATATTACAATGTGACAAAGAAAAGATGAAAGTTGAATTTTATCTGAATGTCAGGATATAATAAATAAAATGTAAAAAAAAATTTCTAACTTGCATTACCTTAATTATTTCCCGTTTAGCTTCTCCAGCTTGAACTGTAATCGGTGATACCATCGGCAACTGAGGCGCGTTGTCATTCACATCATTCAACGTAACAACAAAAGATAAAGGTGTTGATGCTGCAATACCAGTCTTTTCTCGAGCAATCACTTGGAATCTAAAACGTCCAGGACTTGGTGGATCACGATCCAAGTTCTCTTCATTTACAACTAAAATTCCTGATGGATCGATGTTAAAGAAGTTGGTTGTCAATTCAAACGTGTAATTGGGTTTAGGATCTTCAGGCGCCTGTAATATGAGTACACGTTGAGTATCTATTATTTTCTCTCTGTTTCTTTTGTTAACACAAAATGTAAATTACCAAGTCTGCATCGAATACAGTGAGTTTAATAGGAATTCTATCTTTGTCAATAACTTTAGTACCAACTGGTGCATTCTCATCAACAAATCCTTCTACAGATGATGCAGTAATAACCGGTGGATTGCTGTCTACCGGTTTGACGGTAATCGTCAGCTTTGCCGTCGCTGATCGCTTTGCTTCTGATTCTTCTACAGCCTTTAAGAAAAGAGATCATTCAGTAATTATTGCAATACTTACTCTGGTATGTAGTTTTTACTCTCACGCGATACTCTACTTGATTATCCACTATCATTTGTCTGACATTTTTTTTTTTGTATTCAACAATACTGATTAAAATCATCTTGGACATGAATTTTTTTTTATTGGATTTTTCATGCTATAGAATGGTAATTCATTATTTATACCTTGATAATGATGTCAAATTTCTTGGTAACACTAGTGTCAACAGCCCGTACTTGTTTGACTGCACCAGTATTCGGATTAATCTCAAAAAAATCTCGATAATTTGCTGGGTTTCCACTCAAAAAAGAATAATGAATTGGTGCATTAATGCTGTCCATATCGACAGCTTGTATCTTCTCTGGAGATATATTTAGTATGCCAGACAGAACTCCACTGGATACCTGATTAATAAAAGCAATGAAATTGAACTGAATACATCTGAGTTATATTAGCGGTAAATGATTTATTTTTTTTTTATCAGATAAGTATTAAATTTTTAAATACCGCTACGATGATATTGTAAATCTTTCAGTGAGCTTTATATTTATTTTAAAAGATTACTTACAGAAGCTGAATATTCAGGATTGATGCAGGCACCGTCAAGCAACATACATCCTTGATAAATAAATGAAGGGTCCTGATCATCATCGTCCCTGATGTTGACGGTTAATGTTGTTGTTGAAGTCAATCTCTCCGAGACATTTAACGCACGGTCCTGAGAACAAATTGATTGGTAAATAATTAACGTGTCTAACCATGCATACAGGGGAGTTATTACTACTATATCAATACTAATTGACTGCATATTACCACGTCCAACAAGAATGTGAACGGTAGTTTTATGTTTTATATTTGATATTTTTTTATGTATCTAATCTGAAGACCAGTAAGTAATAATTTGTATTTCGAATAAAGAGACTAATTACGACTAGAAATAAAGTAATTTTGAACGAAAAAAAATTTTTTTTCAAACTAAAATTTTTTTTCTGTCAGACTTTCAGTTATTACAAGCAATTTGAGTTGATAATGACATATTATTTTCATGTCCAGTTTGCGGTTTACAATTATCCAGTGACTTAGTCCAAATATAATGATATTATTTACTTTATTTTTTTCCGCTTGAAATATAAATTGAAAAAATAGAATTATCATGGTAGATAAAAGTTTTCTTTTACTTATTATATTAGTCTCAAAGTACACTTTACTTGTATCGTTGACGAAGTTCATCTATTTGCTGACTATCGTTCATTCTAACTTTCATTACAGACTTAAATGCAGAAGTCATTATTCGAAATACTTAAACAAAACTTTTTACTTTTCATTTTTTTAATTATATTGCTTTTACTTCAAAGTTTCAATAATTATTTACGCTTAATTTATTTCAAGTATTAGAAATGTAAAGATATCTCACTTGAATAAATCCAATAAATCTTGCAAATTTATTTAATTACTTTTAAAAACTTTAACTAAACAGTTGAGAGATTATTCTGGCTTAAGAAAATAAGTTTATTTTGTTTTCACTTCAGCAATGAGGAGCTAAAATAATGCTTGTACTTGAAACTAAGTGACTAGGAAAAAGGAGAATCATTTTATTGCTATATTTGGTTGGAGACTCAGACGACATCGATATTGATTGGGCGTATTCTACAGCATTCCAAAACTTACCACAAGAAATTCATTGATGCTATTAATTATCTGGACATTTATTAGCACCTGGAGAAACACCACTTTCACTAAATTTAACATCAGATTCATTGTTCTCAAGATTATGAGACCAGTGTTAGGTCAGTCTATGTCACAAACTAAATAACCATTTTCTTTTTTATTTTTCTGCTCTGAGTTGAAAATAATATAAAATTGTTTAATTACATCCAATTATTTATAACAACATTTTATTAATATTTATCGAATATCATCATAATAATGATCATTCAATAAATTACATCTATTTTTAATTGTTTAAAAAAATTGTGTAATTATTTACATCAATTGATCTAATCAATGGAGTTAATAATTTAAACTTAAAGTAACACTTTTATATGGATCATAAAAGTTTAGTTATTGCATAGTGAACATTTATCTATATGATAGAGTTTGAATAAAAAAAAAGTAAATATGTGCTTGCAGCAGTTATTTTATCTATTAAATCATAATAACTATGAAAGGTAACTCTATCATTTCAGAAAATAATAAGCAAAGTACAATGATTAACATGCTAAAACTCTGGTGATTTTTAATGAAACTTTGTTCCTCAACATCATAACAGTTACTATAAAAGTTAAAAATACATACTACATTTGTTTCCTATTGTAAAGTTAAAACTTTTTTCTTTTATTAAAGTGAAACATAAACATTCATTTCCAATGAATTTTAATGTTTTTATTGAATTATTAGCATCACCAATTGGATAATTTTTTTCTCTTCCTTACAATTCAAATTCATTACAGAATCAATAAAGTACTTAATGACAAGAAAAAATGTTAATTTTTCCTAGAATCAAACGGCTTTTCTGTCTACCTTTCGTGCCAAGTATCGCATTAGAAAAAGTTTCCGTCTAATCTTATTCACGATCAATTGATTGATGAACCATTTAGAGAGACTAAAAGATCCCGACACCAGATGAGCACACGATACTACCGGAAATATCACCTAATCGATTGGTGGTGATCACATTTTTTCTTTCTTCGGTTTACGCAATTTCACCATAATCTTTTTTCTGTGATAAGATCATCTAGGCTTTCCTATCGATGATTGCTATATAATTTTATGCCCACATGATTTTCTTCAGGTATATTACTTTATTTTATGATCTGTCGCGTCATTGTATGCTACATTTATATGATATAACTGGAAGCATTGGTGATGCGGAAGAAGTTGATTGCACTATTTTTTAAGATAATCGCTAATAATCAATAGTTATGATGTCTGGAGCTAAAATAAACTTCACTGGCACTGGCGAGGAATCATTTTAGACACTTTTGTACTTCTTGTAGTTCATACACCGCCTACAGACCTCCATGAAGATCAGGATACTAATAATTACATACATATACGTATCTTATGGGTACGTTCATGAAGAAAAAGAGACAAATTCGATAGACTATTTTGCGTGGGAAGTTGAAGTTACCAGTGGCAATTTATACAGGCGATTTGTTACAAGCAACTTCTCAAGAAGGCTGATTACACTTGAGAAAAATTAATAAATATAAATTACACTACTCCATGAGCATTCACTTCAACTTTTACTGATGTCAACTAACATGTACTATTTCAACTATTCTTGTTATTTATAAGAAATAATATTAGACACTATTTGTTAACTATTGATAGTACTGAGTCTGAAAGCTGACTAATGCAATGACGCACCAACACCTCAACATTTGAATCCTACTACAATAGCTACAACTTAAAAAAAAAATAGTTACACAGTTGTGCCTGCATATTGACACTTTTTCATATCATTATGTTGGGTTGTAGAAAAAATTTAGGTTGAATTTAAGTGAAGAAAGTATTATTTTAATAATATATTATACTTTATTAATTGAGCATAACAAAAAATTTATGGACTATGATAAAAATAAATATATAATTCAGTTAATAAATTATAAATTTGTTAAAACATTTTTCTGATGCATTATTCATGAAATAAAATTTGGAGAAAAAAAGGAAACGAAAGACGTTGATAAATCTTCCATTTCGAAATGCATTACCGCATGACTGACCATCAGGTATATGGATAGAGTAAGAAGAAATTTTATACAGTTATGATGACCGTGTATACACACCAAGTTACATCAACGTGACGAGTAGATCGACTATACCAAACGTGAATGGAATAATTAAGCTATATGATAAGGACAGAATCATGCGTAATGATCATTGGAGATATATGCTTAAGTACATCATTCTGGTGAGTACATTACAAATAGATCAATTAATACATCTAGATGGAAAGATATGATAAGGAAAAATAGGAGTTGTGTTGAAATAAAAATAGAGAAATCGATTGACAATTTCCAAACTCTAACCAAGTGTATGAATATATTAGTATAATAATGAAATATACCAAGTGATTTTCTTGGAGACTTAAGACGAGGTAAGAAGTTGAGACAAAGTATAAAATATCGAAGGAAGCGATATGCAAATAGGAACGTACGACATATGCGAGGTGAGTTCTAATCTATGACTTTCGTAAGTACATGTTACTATCAGTAATATACATGCTAGTGTATCTCATTACATTTTTTGCTTATTGACTAAAGAAATTAAAAGTTGAATCATTTATGGGAGTGTTCTTGAAAGTGACAATTGTGAAACAGAATGCAATAAATTGAATTCTGCAAGACTACACCTGTACGAGTTAAGAAAGAAGGGAAGTCTGCAGAATATGGCGAAGAAATAGGGACGTGACTCACTCTCTTACAAGCTACCACAACTGCCTACATGGTCTGACCAATGTCACACACTAGTGTCTTTGCTTTCTTCTCACAGACACTTCAAATCTATACTTGAGTTAAGCTGACTTTTTCTACTTTGCCTAAGTCTCAAAGGCGATAACATCATCGCTCTTTTACTGGGATTGATGCATAATTCACATCAGACATTACAAGAGTCTACTGTAGATCTTCAGAGAAATAAAAAATCCAACATTTGTTTTCTTTATAAAGAATTATTGCTTTCATGGCGTAAAGCTTCGATTAAGTAATCTAAATTAGAGAAAAAAAATGAAAAATGGGTCTGGGCTTACTTTGTGTCTCGACGACAAACTTTCCATTTATTGAAATTCGTAATTTTGTCATCTTTTAATTTTTTTTAATACAAATTACGTTTGTTCTAAATAATATAAAATTTTTCAATTACATCCAATTATTTATAATAACATTTTATTAATATTTATCGAATATGATCATAGTAATAATTATTCAATAAATTAAAACCATTTTTAATTGTTCATAACGTCCTTAAAATGTAAAGTTATGATAAAATTACGAATTTCAAAAATCGATCCCATTACAATAACTTCCTAATGGGAAGTTAATAAAAGCATTCAAATGCAAAAATCCTAGTTGGCAGAAAACTATGTGATTTATGGTGCTCTAAATAATTAGATTATGAGTATAATTTAAAATTATGGTCAATATCTATGTTGGATAAATGATGATTTTTCGATTGAATAAAAAAAAAAGAGTAAAATGATTGTAAACTATAATTGAAATATATGTAACTTACAGATGCAAGAATAGTGACAAGATATCGCTGAGTTCTTTCAAAATCGAGCGTACGGTTGACCGTAACCTGTCCCTGATGTGGTAAATTAATAGTAAAGTAACCATATCCATCGGCTGTAGTTATTCGATCTCTGCCAACACCATTGTAGCTTCCAATTCCATTATCATCTCCCGGAGCTATTGAATACTCGACAAGCCCATTGACTCCAGCATCAGCATCAACTGCAATAACATTCTGAAAGATTGTCGAGCCAACCGGCGTAAGCTGAAAACCATTTAAAATAATTTATTAAAAATGAATGGAGTATTTGCTTTTTTATGATATACAATAAAATAAATGTGAACAAGAAATATTTTAATACGTGTTTTTCCATAAAACAAACGAAATCGCAGGCTTTTAATACTCCGTAAAAATAAAATAAATAACACAAGTGTATAAAGAAAATAATGAAATTAATGAGACATTAGAAACATTAATTTCCACGCTGTCGCTTAATTGCATTATGACGTCTGAAAGCAATGTGAATTTTATACGCAAGAAAAGACCGATAAATGTTCGTCAAACCGGTATTCAGGGACAGTTAATAACGCAAAACTTGATGGCGGTTCTGTTATAACGGTTTTAAAACATGGAAAACTCGGAATGTTTTTTATTTATCACTCTTTGGGTCCAGCTTGTTAAAATCATTCCACGTGCCAACGACAACGACGACTCTCTGTTCTCCTTCATGATGGATCCTGCAATTACGCGCTCTGGCTAATTAAACTCTATTGCACTAGTGATGTAATGTCACAACGACAAGAAAATGAAGGTAAATCAACTTTTTCAATAGTAATTATGATTTTTTTTGACATATGGAAGCTGAGAAAATTTTAGTTAATTGACAATGATTCAAATGAAGAACCGTTAAAACTATGACATACAATGTGTAATAGTCTTATAAGCTTGTTGATTATCGCAAGTGCTTTAATAGAATGTAATGTCGGAAATAATAATCATAATAATCATTAAAACTGCTTTCTTATGCTATATTATCCTGTAATGGAAACTCATAATCATTTGAGTTTTAAGGCAGGATAATTTAATGTTCTCTATGTAATTTCATACATTTATACTTTTAGACGTGCAGGAAGTATTGATGAGTATTGAACATCCGATATCAGTATAAATTATGCCTATAATTGAAATTGATGATAAAAAAATTAATCAGTTAAACGCAGTAGTAAATATTGAAATCTAATTCATTTTATCATTACCTCTGGGACTGTTGTTTCATACGGTGTGTTGATGAATTTCGGTGCATTGTCATTTACATCTGACACTCTGACAATAACAGGTATTATTCTCTTTTTATTGGTCGATTTTACTGTACATGCCAACTGTAAGCAGAAAAGTAATAAAAATGTTAGCATAAAAAACAAATCTCATTTACAGGAGAGAATATTATGAGAAAGCAAAATAGAATCTTAAGTATAAGAATTGGATCCTTTCACTGGTAATCTTCTGGAGACTTGACAGTGAAGAGCGTGCAAAAAAAAAATAGTCAAAGAAAATAATGAGATTTGCGTACCGTTATAATGTTTGCTAAATAAGACTGATGAGTCAGAGCATATGGATACCAAGCAATTAATTACCTACATCGATACGCACGTGAGTAAAAACTGGAAAAGGATTTTTTACCTGGAATACAACGTGTGAGAGATTCTCGCTGTCCCTGTCCAGTGGTTTCAGGAGCCGTAGCTTCTTTCCATCAAGGGCAAACAGTGGCGCCTTTCCGGGAAATATCAACTCTAAGGTGGTCTCATTGTAAGGATTCCCTGAGACCGGAAGTTCTTCTGGAATTGTTGGTTGCCCAAATTCTGTCAAAATATAATCAGAGTATTATTTTAGGAATACTTTTGATGGGTGGAAAATAATTGATGGAAATGGAGAGTGTTTTGATGAAAGTTAGATAAATTTATATTTCATATGAACACATGCAAAAAATTATTATGAATATGTATTGATTGATATTCGTATTTCAATCAATCATTAAAGAAAGACGTCTTGACGAACAAAAAAAATAGTGATTAAGATTTATTTAGTTCGAAAGATTTAGCACACATAAATTCAAAATAATGACTACTGGTACTTCTTCACGCGAATTGTTAATGAGAAAATGATTTTACAGTTCTAGATTATCATTGAAGACGAATGTATGAAAGTTGTATGTATGAGGCAGGTAGCTAGAAAGATCTTCAATCCCCATAAAACGTCTAGTACACCAACGGTCTGGAAAATTACTTCCTCATACAGAGGCTCATCGGGCACAAGATAATTGAGGTTGCCCTTACTTAGATATGACTATATGACTATGACTTGAAAATAGACCGACTTCGATATTATTTCCACCATCTAATTAGCCTGGTTCTTTTTGTTTGGATCGACTTTCGGTTTGATCAAACTTCTAGTTAAATTATTTTTTGTCTTCAAACGAGTTTCAATTATCGTGTTACAGAGGCAAGATGAGTCAATAAAATTGAGTTGCAAACAACGCGAGTTTATGTGATTTCATGAATAATTTATGGATTGGTATAGAGAAAGGAGAGGAGTTGAAGAGAGAAAAGAACGAGTGAGGGTGTTGGTATGAAGAGATTTAATGCATGTTCTTCAGACTAGTAGTTGTGATACGTGACACGGCTGATGCTCCTTTCTAAACATCTCAAGAGTATCGTCTTCATGCTTTTCATTGCTTGCAGCGACTGCTAAATAAACTTACCATCACCACGACTTTCCTCAATGTCCAGGATAATGTTCGATTGCCCTGTCGACTCCTCACATAAACCTGAAAAATATCACTTTCAATATATACCTATCTGATGTGACTTGTTGAAGATTGGAAATTCATAATCAATGAAAATTCATGGTAAAGTATTAACCTTAAGTTCAAATATTCATTAAACAATTACTTAACTCCAATAATCAAATGTTTCCAATAAAAAAGTAATCAATATAGTTTTTTATTTGATAATAATTACATGAAATGTCAATTTAAATTATCAAGAAATTTTGATTTTATGTTTAAATTATTGATTAGATAATTATTACACTCAAATCAAGATGTGATTACATGTATTTTTAGATCTTGTAACAAGCAATTCTGATTAAACTGGTTTTCATCAATTTCACCAAAGTTTCTTAGCATTTTATTTAGCAAGAAAAATGATTTACTAAGTAATAAAAATCCAATGTCTACTTTTATTATCACTAATTTATTCATACCACCGTGAAAGTTTATACAAAATGACTGTTAATGTTCTCGTTGACATTTCACTGTTTTAATAATGTTTTTAGAACCAGATCTATATTGAACTAAACTACGTATCTGTTCTATCTATATTATTAGAGCACATTACATATAAGGAACAAAAAACTGAATCATGTTGGTTGTATTGGAACATAACAGTTGTAAGAACAAATTTTGTTGAATATTTTATATAGGTTATATACGAATGTATATTTAACAATTACCATAGTAGCATCTTGTTTTGTTCAATAATTAAACGTGTTCTCTATGAATTATTGGATAATCAAAATTTACCGTTCGTTTGAACATTTTAATAGCATTACTACATACTGCAGCCCACACGTAACTGTCAGTACTTATTTTTCTGATGCTTGAACCTTTCTCTTTTGGCACGCGGCTAATGTGATGATGAGATTCAAGAAAAGAAAATGAAGATGATGACGAAGAGAAAGAAACACATAGATGCGAGAAAACGTGATGTACTTTGCAATTTTCACTGTTGCAAAGTATTCACATCTAACAAATTACACATTTCTTCTTATTTTTATTTTTAAAAATAATTCTAATAATTATAATGAAAAAAAAAGTGCTGATGCACTAGTTTGAGATAAAAATATTTATCTAAATAGTTTAATAATTAATAAATAAAGAAAAAATCATTGAATAATTGGAGGTTATTTTTTCATTTACTCCAATCACAACTATTTTAAAAGTACTGGAAACAAAAATAACTACAACAGTGTAGTGTGTGTATGGTTCGAGAACATTTAACGCAAAAAAGGAAATACATGGTCGACACAAATAGACTGTATTTCCCACGATATCTGAGGGTACAATATCGCACATGTAAGCCAGAATGAATATCGGGCGATTATGTAAGAACTTAAATCAGCTGGGGCGTGTAAAGTGCAATGGAGAATGGCTCGTTACTAGATATCGCCAGCTTTACACTCAAATCGTACTAACAGAGATGTTTCAAAGTATATATAAGAGTTGAATGGCATCCCTCGTTATCTATATAGATCTGTTGGCTTTAGAGGAAAATCAGTGTGTATTTACTGTACACCCTAACTATACTTAATACTGAGTTTCACACGTTTATGTACAGAATATATTCTAACGATAAACCTTGTTAGAATCCGTAGCTATATACTTCTCTGCATGATATAATTGCTAATCCACCAGATATTTATGGCCGTGAGAAAGGTAGCATTCCATTGCACTCAGTTGTATATATTTTTAAATAAACAACAACATATATTATTTATTTTTCGACTTACCGGCTTTTGAAATAACATTGTGTGGTAGCAGAATCAGACACAGCGTACTGAGGACCCAATGAATGGTCAAGGGTGCCTGAAATAAACAAGAAAACAATTATTTTTATTTTTTTGAAGTTAAAACTTCTTTAGGCAAGATGAGATTGAAGTGAAGTTTCTTACAATACAATAAAATTATTGGAAGTACAAATAATTTAAGTATGGTTGAAGTTAATGATAATAATGATGATATTTATAAACACTACCGGTCAAAAATCTTTGTCCACTCGATAGGTTACAAAATATAAACATGCTTGAGTTGAAGAAGGAGGGGGGGCAAAGCGAGGCAATAGAGGCAAAATGGAGTACCCAGAAATTTCGGTTGAACTTTTGTTTTGAAGAATTAAAAAAAAAATTATTGTTGAAATACCAATATTTGATATTAATGGGTCTTTAATGTACTGTAAAATACATGAACAAATAGTTGTAAGTTTTCACTTCTATCTGCCGTCTCTATGACTGTCTGAATTTTTTTTTTAATGTCTCTTACATATATTTATATCTTATTTATGAAGATGTAAGAATCCTACGTATGTATATTTAAAAATTTATTTGAATTGTGCGACATAACGTAAACATTCTGACCTCAATCGTAGAGGAGAAAAATATTGCTCATATAAAGAACGAAAATAGTTACTTTTATTCAGTGGTAGAATGATGCCAGAGAAAAATGTTGCATTTGTTTTGAATTACCAAAATAACCACAAGAATATCCCTGAGGTTTTCACAAGTTTCTTTCAAAATTTTTTCGCCTGTGATTTTGTGTTTCCTTTTGTGCTTAATCAATTGACCTCAAGTAATTAATGGCAGAAACTTTATGTTCAATTACCGTTTAATCTAAATTATATTGAAAATTCGGCAAATAGTTTCAAGCAAGTTCTCAAAGATACAAAACAGATTCCTAATATATATTTGGTGAGTATCTGAGTATATAGTTTTCAATGACATCCGGTTTATGTCTTGAAACTATTAATTAATAATATAATATTGCAATTAGAACTTTAACTAATTCATTATTGTGGTTAAAAATGATATTTAGATATTTATCAATTCTTGCATCAAGAGTGAAATATTATAATTAAGAGTATTATTGATAATGTCATATCTTTTATGATTATTAATTGGAATGAAATTAAAAAAATAATTACTTTCCACGTTAGAGTATTTATTTATTTATTAAAATTCTAATAAATGAATATGATATACACAAATAAAGTTGTTTAAATGACATTATTAAAAGAGAATTATTGCAAGATAAGAAAACCTGTCGTTGTTTCCGGTTTCCATCAAGTAGTATGATTAATTATTAATGTCCATTAATGAGATATCGATTTATTTTATATAATTTAATCACAAAAAAATGATTTCCGTATCCTGTGTATATGGAATGATGAAAAATAGCATTTAGATGCAATCAAGGTGAGCAAAAAATGTTATAATTTTTATTTTTTATGATTAAATAAGGTATACAATGAATATTGACTTGCATTGTTTGTTTTTACAGTTGTAAACAAATGGCTTCTTTATAAAACGCAAGATCAATAGCAAATAACTCCGTTGCATTATGCTAATGCCTTTGAAACGTAGCGCATATCGGAGTAACGAGGCTTGGCGCGTCGTCCAGAGAGACCTAAAGGTGAATAAAAGTTTCCGGATGAGGGGAAACAATGCTATCATCTCGATGAAATCTTCGGTACTCTGCTAGAGGGTGTTTCTCACCTAGACACGCGTGTACGCGCCGTTTGTTTCTCATAATACCTGGCACAGAGTTTGTTAAACAACCAGCATTGATAATAGCATAACCTGCATGCTCATGACCGTGAGATTTTTTTGCTTTTTGTCAAACTATCAAGCTCGTTTGCGGCACGAGTGATCATTATTTTAACTCAGTTTATGGTGTTTCTTAAAAAACTTTTTAATGAACTACTTTTTTTCTCGTCTCGTCAACTCCATATTTTTTCATAATTAGTCGTGAGGTAAATTTAGAAGGTAAAAATAAGCTTAAAAAATTTTTAAAACCATTTTATAAAATATAAACGTAAAAACAAAAGTTGATAAGAATGATTCTAAAATATTATAATAATTTTCATGCATGCTGTAGTATTCTTGATAAAGTCTTTCTTCCATGTGCTATCGATGTTTCTATTATAAGATCAAACCTTTATTCCTTTGTGCAGGAAGCAAAGCCGACTAAGAAGGATAACTGAACGAATAAACTGAGATAAGGGTAAGAATGAAAAGAGAAAGAAAGAGGTCAGGTCACGAGAGTTCTAGTTGAAAGTCTGAGTGTTCTCAGTGCTCCCGGCGTCACGAGGCCAAGTCTCTATCGATTCTTGAGTGCATTCATTCTCTTCTCACTCTCCATAATACATGATAGGGATACTAGAACTTTGCTGGTAATCATTGAGCGGTGAAAATCATTTTTCAAGACACGCTAACCTCTGTGATCTCTTATAGGCACGCCTCAAAGAAATGGTTTGACTTACAAACTTTCTAAAATTCTAAAAAATCAGTACAATTACTTTTAGTTTTTATCCGTTACTCAGATAATTTACAATTAAAAAAATATCGTAGTGTGAAGATTCACTTTTTTCAACTAAATACTTTCAATTATTATGATTAAAGTCGTGCAATATTTCGATGAATCATTTAGTTTTATTTTATTAAAACTACTTCATTTGTATTATCGATTATTTACGCATCATAAAATCTCTTTTATTGCTGTTTAACTTGGATCCATTGATATTTTTTTTTCACAGCAAGTGTACTCTATCATTGTTTTAAAGTGGATGATCTATTATAACGAATTGAAAAACAATAGCTACCTCTGGGATTGACATCTGGTTTGGAATTGACTATTTTTATTCATTACAGATAGAAAACAATAATTTTCCATTATCGAAGAAATAAATTTATTGAACTTGATACGAATAAAGTCAGGATAAGAACAATACAGATACAGGATGATGATGGGAATGCCAAATTTAGTTATTGAATCATTCGAAATTTGAACTTATAACTTGGAAAAAGAATTTTGATTCTTGAAAATTGAAATTTCATTTTATCAATGTATGTTGCACATGTATTGTTTTATTTAAAAATATTATAATCAAGACTGAAATTATTCTTGATCCAAGAATGTGATTCTACCAGTACTAAAATTAATCTTTACTCTCCATCTGCATCAAAGAATTTATTGATGAAAAAAAATAGATTAACTGAAATGAATAAAAAAGAATTAAAATTTATGTAATCATGGTATTATAAATTTTTTAAAATAATTATCAAATTGGATATCAAATAAGCAAATTAGACATAAATATTTAGGTTCGTCAAAAAGTACAATAGCAAATTACTTAACTTTCTACTATCTATCTTATTTATCTGAAAACTATGTCCGCAGTCTTTCTGAGTGGCCGAGTTGTTATCTGAGTCGGAAGCAAATCAACTATGTCTTTTCTAATTCCCCCAACAGTTGTAAAATAGAAGGTGGTATCTCTGGGAAAATGTCAGATAATAGAAAAAAGAATCTCATATAATTTTAATCTAAAAAAATAACCCACGAGAGATTATTACAAAAACTTGTTGTCGTGTAGAGTGAATAAAATCTCATTAAATCTTAATTTTCGTCGCTTACGATTATCAAAGTGAGCAATTTAGATTTATTAATAAGATAATTATCAAAGTTTTAATGACACAATTGACTGTTGTATAACGGCACGTTTTCCTTTGAAGATAAGGACATTTCCATAGGTGGTCGTTGTCATGTTTAAATATCTAACTCCTTTAACTGTTATAAGTCGTTCCCACGTAACGACAAACTGGTCAGCCAGCGTCCAGCAATTATGCAACATTGTGTAGAGCATCAAAGAGGCAAGTGCATTGCGCTGTTCACTTTACATTTCAGTTATTACGAGTCCGCGTGACCCAGACGTGCTTCTGGAGTGCTTATGTACTTATGCTAGTAGCAGTATGCATTGGCACGAGAATATTCATGTGTGTTACTTGATGGGATAGGAGCTACAAGCCATATGTAAATATACATTCTTAAACTTGTAAAAGATTCACCTGCCCTTGGCCGTCAGGACTCCCAAGATCTCGCTTCCGTTTGGAATACATTTGCGATGTGGAGAATTGTTGAAAGAATATAAATGCAAACTTTAAGGAATGATTGGTTGAAAGGAAAAATATTAAATACAGTTATTCAACTAAAAAGATGCAATAAAATTATGAATAAAACGTGAGCAATAATTCTTCGATAATAAATATTATTATAAAGTAGTCTCGAGGTATCCTGGCTCTCGTTGATTGATCAATATTGCTTGTAACACAGAACATTTATCTTATTCGTAATCACATTCATTTTAAATATTTCAAGACATCGATCCGATTTGATAGGATCGATAGAAAACATCCTGAGGTCATTGTCCTTTTTATAATCATTGAAAAATAATTTTTTTTAATTCTCTGTCGACATAAGGGTAAGAGAAATAGGGTGTATAAGTCGTTCGCGATTATTTATTGCTCATTATAATACGGGTGTACTTTGCGTAGCGACCACAAGGTATCGGCAGCCTAGCGATCGAGATATCGATAAGATCCTCAAGCCACCGCCCACGATTTATTAAGTTCTGCCGACAGCGAACTTGTATCGGTATATTTTCACTATATGAGACGATCATCCTGATTCATGTGTGCAACCAGATTTATTATTAGGTACTTGCAGTTACATCGATGTAACATGTTGGAATAGAGAACGAGTTGACTGAATGTTGTGTAGTCTCGAAAGTGAAATTTCACCGTGGACACATTCGTATAATTAATTCGATTCGGTTAGTAACGTTGGTAGTACAGGTGTAACGGTTGCCAACGTTAAATTAGTGTCACAGTAATGGCGTCTAGATCAGCAATAAATTTTTTTTTTTTACCATTTCATTTATGTAATTAATTTGATCAGAAGTTACGTTGGAAAATTTTTTTAAATTATAGTATTTTAAATGTTTATTGATTTATAACTTCATGAGATTGGGGGAAACGATTTGACGAACCAATCAACTGATTCATGAGATACGACTGATAATAATTTTCATCTATCAAAAGTGACGAGGAGAATTTTATCACTAGTCTCTACAAAAGTTAATCATAAATAAATATTTTTTTCATATCAAATAACCTTCGATCGACTAAAATATAGCTACCAATGCATAATGACTCACTTAACCTCACAATAAAACCATCTGTATTTATTCTAGATAATCTATGATCATTTCTAAAATTAATTAACTCAATAAAAATATTTCGAGTGTTTTTTTTTTGGTGTAAGAGTATCAACTGATTAATAAATTAGGATAAAGTAATTCAAATGAAAATTTATTAACATAATCTTACAAAATAATTATAATACTTCGAACGTATTATAAAAAAATTACATTAATAAATATACATTTAATCCGACAGCTCGACAATTTATTTTACAATTTAAATAAAAATATTTGTTTTGATAGTAACCAAAAAAAAAAAGGTCAAGAAACAATGATGTATCAGAAAGTGGGTCAAACTAAGAGTAATAAAATTTAAATAGTACAGTATGCAAACTAAATGATACAACAAAAGAAAGTTGTGTAGAATTCACCATGACTTGTGATAAAGAAATAAATGATTTGAAATTAAAATAAACACCTATTTCTAATTAAATTATTCCAACATAATATATCTGATGAGAAATTGAAAAATTAATCAACCTTAAAGAGAAATTAAAAAGCCATTTAGCGTTCGTTGGAGGAAATTGATTAGTGTGTCGACATTTAAAAAGTCCCAACTGTCAAGAAAGCATCAACAACAGCTTGAGAGTCATTTATATAGGAGAATCAACTCTTGAGACCGTTAGAGGTATACGCTAATGATGCTACATCGACGACAAACCGGAAGTAATTCTTGACGATAAAGCAAACAAGAAACATTCATGTGCAGCATAGCGTGGCGCGAAACTATCGGCTAACGATGAACCAGTCGTGTAGTCAAGTATGTCCAGGTGATGGTTTATGTGCAAGACAACTGAATCTGAATATGATTTATTGGGTGAACTCAGGAAGAACTTGAGACGTTGCAACAGGAATACACACATCCCCCATTCATATATCATCACTATTTCTAATTTATATACAAAAAAGCTTTTATTTATATGATTAGGCATATTTTTATTGTTATTTTATATATATCATTTTTTTTTCACACTTGGAAAATCTCAAAGTGTATTTGTATCATGGTAATAATTCATCATAATGTAGAAATAAGGAGAATACATGTAGACTATCTGTTATATGATTTGACAACATAACTAGAGTTAAGATGGATATTTCTCGCTAGAAGAAGCACATCTATTGGTAATATAAATACATACTGCATCAATAGCAAACTTTTGAAAGATGTAATATTTTTTCTCACGTTTTTATTGTATTTATTTCATGTTTAGCTTAATTGCAGTCATTCAACTAAGTTGTTTAGAATAAAACACTATTATTTACCAAGCTTATTGAAGTATGGAAGGTGTTAAAAAAACTGGACTGGATCCACATATACCCGCAAGGATGATTGGGAAAAAAAGTTACAGCCTATGGTCTCTCAGACGATGGTTCTCAGCTTGGGATTCCTACTTGGATAACGGATTTACGAGTAAAGAGTCCACCAGTTAAGACTACTTTATCCCTCTGGCTAATAATAAGAACGAGTTTATATAAGAATAAAATACGCTTTGTCTTATTACCCACCACCCTTTCCTCAGGCTAAAGACATGCCTAGTCATTTACTCATCATTTTTCAAGTAAGTCCTTTTTTACTAATAATTTTTAATAATTACTCTGCTTAATTGATTCAATTTTTTTTTTTAATTATAGTTATGAATTTTAAAACATTTGGAGACAAATACTTAGCAGTGGAATAATATGTTGATTGAATATCAAATCAAATGAAATCAATTCATTCAGTCATAAGAATGTAAGAACAATAGATCTTTCAAGTGAATAAGATTCAACAAAGCTATCTACTCCGTATCTTCATATGCTAACATATGAACGTACAAACAAATATATTTACAGTTGAATGTATAATTTAGAACATCATCATTTTCTCAAGTTTCTGAGCATTAAATTCAAGATAAAAAGCAAGAAACTAGAAAAAAGATGCATTTTGAATCCGTTACATTGAATATTTAGTGGGAGAATTCTAACGTCCTCCCACGTAATTGATGATGAGTTAGCATATTGCAAAATGATGAGAGTCATGACATAGACAATCAAATATTTTTTTTTGAGATCATTTTCTATTCTCTCGATATGCATTATTGTTTTCTTATTTCATTCGAGACAAAGTAACTGTAAAAAAAGGAATAAATTTATGATTATTAATTCTAAATCAATTGATTACTATAAATGATCCATAAAAAGAATTTTATAGAAGTTTATTAAGAAAATATTTTTATTGAATTATTCATGTGTAAAAGCATCCGTTATTCATAGATATAGTTAGCACTGGAGGCATGAATTTGAAATCTTGTTACAAATATCAGAATTGTTCAAGCGTGTCAAGATGAATCTTCGATTCATATCGTTGACTGCTAACAAGAAGGAAGTGTGAATTTGCACCAGGAGGAATGTTGAGATATAGATACACTTATTGAGAGGAAAAATAAAAAGAGTTTTCTTAAAGCACGTGGACGTTGTCAACATTAAGCTCTAGGAATATGAATTATTGAAATATAATACTATTATATGCGGGGTAGCAGGACAATACAAATATGTAAGTAGTGTTTCTTAACGTCATTCTTTTGCGTTGGTTGAAAAGACAGGTGTGGATACCATAAGATCAATTGAATGTTCTAAGCAATCACATAACTTACAATCGGCAGCACACTAGACTGTTGACAGTATTCATTTTCAATCGTATTAGTAGATTATCACTCGTAAAAGAATTCATTTGTATTTAATAAATCTAGTTAATTACTCATAAATCTTATATTTAAATGTGGTGTGATAAATATTGGATTGATGTTAATGAATTGACTGGCAGAAATTCTGGTTTAACATAGGGAAAAGTGCATGTAACAGTTAATTGCATGTTTTTGTTTTAATTACAAATAAAATATTACATCAGAAATCTAAATTAATATAAGTGGAAAGAGTCATTTATTAGATAGGAACATTTTTCTTTTGATATTCATATGATTAGGGTACTTGTATTAGTCATATTCTTCAAGGAGTCAATAGAGCACGTTGGAGATATCAGTGAATCAGGCACTCATGATTTTGTTCTACAACTCTAATATTCAATAGCATTAAGATCGTTCGGTTAAATCTATGATGATCTATTAGGACAGAGAATTACGTATAGTTGCAGAGTAGCTATGTGCTTCAGAGCAATAGCTATACGTTTATGAGTTCCATTGCAGTCTTCTTGGTGGACACGCATGCAGTTGAAGCATGAATCGTGCTCACTGATCCGTAACTCTCTAAAAGTATTCTACACATTCTCTTACCTCTCGGTTTTTACATCTCCTTCATGAAATAATTTAATGATCGAATTGATAAAGTAACAAACTCAAATAATTATTGATAAGTTATTATTCTGTTAATTAGATTGAATTAATTGAAATTGAGATATGGTAATAAACTATGTTTTATTTAATATTTCTCCAGTTAAATGCATTAAATTTATTCGGATTAATATAAAGTAATCTGACATAAGTTTTGACAGATTTAAACTTGTTAAAATGTTTTTTTTTTTTTTTATAACCAAGTCATGCTATTAATGAAAGTCTACGTGAGATGCATATAAATCTCATTTAATATACTTAATCTGTATTTACAGGATAAACTTTTTAAAAACATATCGTTGCTTACATTTGTTATGCACTGCTTATAAGGTAAAGTTAAGAATTAGTTTGAATTAATTGTGTGTTATTTCGAATGCAAATACAAAAAATATTACTTTCGTTTACATACTTTGACATTTTGAAGTGTAAATATATTTTCATAATCATTCTACACACCTATATAAAAGATTGAGCAACATAACCTACAGAATGGTGATGCTCATTTCAGAGTAATAAGCATGGACAAGTGTAAGGATAATTTAGTATTTCATATTAGCTCATTATCACACAAAGTGTAAAAGTAAATCTTGATTTTATATAAACAAATTAAATGTAATATTTAAAGTTAATATAACCAAGTTTATCTCTCCACAAACTATTAGAAACATAGAATAAACATTTTATGAGTAGAAATTATCTGTACAATATAGTAGTGGTGTCGTCTAAGTGTTATTTCGGAAGATTAGAAATTCCTGAGACCTTATATATTTCATGTAGCATAGAATGAACACCTGTGATATCATAAATAGGAAAGAAAATATCAGATCATGTGTTTATTAAAATAAATAAAAGATTTATTTAGTACACATTGGAATGGCAATATATTATGTATTATGTACCAAAGTTATTTATTAGTGTGAATGTGTCGTAAATAAATGCAACAAAATGGACAGTTAGCTTGGTATAAAAAAAAAAAAATGAAAAAGAGATCAAGAAATTTCATAGGATTACAAACTGATGCTAGAGCACAACTCTCTGCAAGTTAAGTGTGAATGTTAGTCGCTTCCTGTGACACGCAATGGTAAATATCTTGTGGAAAAACTTGATATTAGTTGCTTGGGCGGCCATCAACTTTTAATTTATGGTTCAATGGATTACACGATTAATTCGAATGACTAAGTGTGTATATAAGACGATAGCTGGACTCTAGATGCAAATGAGCAGATGTATAATATAAAAGAAGCCCTCGGCATTAATTGCTAGCCATGGATTTTAAGTGCTCATAACTTTCAACGTCAATTCTTTAGCTTTAAAACACTTTACTAATAACTTTGTTGCTAGCTTTTTTAACCTATTATTTTATTTTCCTGCTCATTAACGTCAAAAATGGTCTAACACTGCATCAGTACTCTTCTTGTGCGGTGAATACATTTAAGGAGAATGGGAACGAAAGGGAGTAAGAATTGAGATCACGAGGTTCCCTATACTTACTTATATGATGATCTGGTTCTTTTGTGAGACCCTATTCTTCTAAGGAAAGAGCCTGAAACTCATGTACTTAAATAAAGAAGTTCATAAGCAAGAGGATTGGTGAAGATGGAGTTTTTTATTTAGCATACAGACAACGGTTGAATGCAAAAGATGTTCAAGTCCACAAAAATACTCGAAGAGAATTCACATCATGGTCAATCGTAAATGCTTGGTTTTACAGCTCTAGAGTACCGGTTGAAAGGGACTTGCTTGGTCATCGTTCTCGTATACTCGTGCAACAGATTAGTATCCAAAGTACAGTATTTTTTTATTTCAGATATTTTTGACTCCTTTATTAATTATCTTTTTTATTACAGCCCATTTCTGACATTACGAATCGTGCAAATTAGGAATCCTTTCATCACACACTTTATGACAATGCTATGTATTGCCAATAATAAAATTTGAATACATGTTGATTATTTATTGGCTTTATAATGACAGAAGAAGGAGATAGAAATGATTAGAATGTTGTTAGTTGTGGCATTGTATAAAGTCATGATTAGTTGAATCCGGTTTTGGACATCTGCATCCTGCAGAAGTTGGAACAGAAAGTGGGCGAGGTTTCCACAGCAGGCGTTCAACGTAAATAGCCAGCAAGACTATTGATATATGTTTAAGTTATACGAATAAGGCCACTGGGCATCCTTTTCATTGACATTAATGAGAAAATAGCACGAACGCCTGCGACGAGTCTGATTCTACAGCACGCCTGGAATCATTACGAGAAATCGGTTCTTCCATTTTGTCCTTTGTTACTCTTTAACTACATCCAATCGATTATTCACTTTTTGCATACGATTGTGTGGATGCATCATTGATTCTAATCCTACTGTTTGTTGTCGATAATTCTTGCATAAATCCAAGAGAGAGAATGTCTTGGAAAAATCACATATAAAATTTACACTCCAAGCACGTGAAGTCAAAAGAGAAGAAGACTCATGAGGTATATGAGGCATCCTATTGTTCCTGTGTGACTTTCCCATTATTGTTTTGTTCTACGGTAACACAAGGTAAATTGCGTTTTAAAGAAACACCTTACGCAAGAAGGAAAAGAGTTCACGAGAGTTGAATGTAATGTTTTAAAGACGTCCCCCGAGATGTCTTGATATATAAAATGAAAGGTTTAAGCTATTTATCGAAATAAATATATTCTTGTGAATGTTACTGTAACAGTCATCGTGTTTACCAAGTGTACCTTTGGGAATTTAATAAAACCTGGAACAGCATGAGGTTTTTTTGCCAGTAGTCACCATAACATTCTCGATTCTTTCTAGCAACTTTCGAAAATGAATTACGTTATCTTCAATAACTCTAGAGACATTTATCGTCAGTAATATGTTCGCAATCCTTGGAGAATATACTTGAAGTTAAATCCCACGGTGTAGAAATTAGTAGACTTAGAAGGAAGATGGGAATTGACAAAGAGGATGAGAGTAGAAATAAAAGATGATTCTAAAATACAATGCAAATATAGGTGGCTAACCTTGAATGTCGTTTGCAACTCCATGGTGCCTTTTCAGGTATCAAAGCCATTCGGACGGCTATTTCATTGGTTAGTAGCCCCTCTTTTCTACTCTGCTGCATATCGTGATGCACAGGTGGAATATAAATATTGCCAGAGCAATAAACGTTAATACATCGTCCTGCGGGAACGTTTACAGCCGCGCCAACATCGCAAATGCTACGAACATCGTGCGAGAAATCAAATGAAAAAGAACGACATGAAAGAAGAAAAGCACTGGCTATTTTCTATATGAAACTTTTTTTTTCTCCTTCAGACCCAGAGGTTTGATTTACGATATAAAAGTAAAATCTGAAAATATGTCAAGATGTTATTACACAACAGACTGAAGATGCCGAGAAAAGTGGTATTTCAAGAATTGCCGACAGTCAATCTTGAGTTTTAGGCTGATCGACTTGACAGGGAAATAAAACGAATAAGGAAGAGAAATTTTCACAACAATATCGTTAAATCTTGAACGTTTTGCATGCTTCTCTCACGCAATGTTAACATTCTAGTCTTATAGTAACTGATAGATACGATAGATTTGCATTCAATGTAATAACTTATCAGGAAAGAAGAGTTGAAGATGACCCTGAAATCTTGGAAAGAGGAATGAAAGAAGAAGAAGAAAGGGTCAAATATGTTTCTTGATTAATAACGAGGAAGTTTCAAGTCTCAAGGGGCCTCAATATTCTCTTCCCATGTCAAACGATACGCAATAAATTATATGCACGGAGGTGGAGAATACTT